GAGGTCGTCGCCATCTCCCGTTCCTCCAGCAAGAAGGCCGATGCTCTTGAGCTCGGTGCTGACAAGTTCATCGCTACCGGCGAGGACCCCGACTGGATGAACAAGAACGCCGCCGGCCTCGACATCATCATCTCCACCATCTCTGGTGGTTTCCCTCTCGACCAGTACCTCAACCTCCTCGACGTCAACGGTACTTTCGTTCAGCTCGGCGCTCCCGACGACCCATTGCCCTCTTTCTCCCCCATGGGCCTCATCTTCAAGAACTTGAAGATCGCTGGTAGCTTGATCGGTACCAGGCAGCACATCCGCGACATGTTGGAGTTGGCCAAGAAGACCAACCTCAAGGCTTGGGTTCAGGTCAGGCCTATGTCGGAGGCCAACGATGTCATCGTTGACTTTGAGAAGGGCCTTCCCAGGTACCGTTACGTGCTCAAGAACTAGGTGTTTATGATTAGATGAGACGATACCCTTTAGTTGTAGTTTGTGTAGTATAGACGAATTGAGCCTTTAGTTTCTCAGTTTTACAGTGTTAAGCGCATGTCAAACTTGAAAGCGCATTAGAAAGACCGGTTCACGAGATGCCATCATTTGATACATCACATTGAAGGCTGAACGCATGCTAGTCGGACCATCATAGGTATTGTCAAGGCTTGATTTTGTCTCTCAGCTAGCTTCTACTTCAATTGTGCGTGGTCAGGGTGCTGAGATCTAATGTGCCTGTTCAAATTGTCCTTGCGCGGCATACTCTTCGCGCACCTTTCAACCGGACACACAAACTGCGGCGTACCAAGCGTTATACCAAGCTTCCTTCGATGGGCCTTGGTTTGTTTGTGGCGCTCCAAATCCTTTCTGGCATCCTTGCTATCTCGAAAGTATGCGTCACAAGGCTCGCATTTGTACGTTTCGTGTGTACGCAAGTGCAGTCTATCACAACTTAGCGCTCGTATCTGAAAGAGGTTTTGGATTCAACCTGAACTTACCTTAATTTGGAGGGCTGCCGGAATGTTTGTCCACATGTCTGGCAAGTGTGGTCCGCTTGATGCTCTTGGAAGGTCGCAGAAGGCTGAGGTTGAAGCGACGTGTACGATACGGCTTCATATTCATTACGCGAAAGTGAAAAAGAGTGTTGTGGCCGTGGGGAATATACTGAGCAATCAGGTAAAGGAGGGAGTCCATCTGTCTCGGGTGGTTGCTGCTCTTCTTCGCTTTGCGGGTACTGGGAAGGCTGGTTCGCTGGCGGAACACAGGTCGGGTTTTCCCGAAGGTCAAGCAAGCGCGGATCAATAAAAAGGTGATGATGGTGTAGATCTTCGTCTCGAAAGGTGCTTGCTCTAGATCCGGAAATTAAACGCTACGACGAGAGTGTAGCGGTGGCTTTCCTGTGTTCCGAGGGTACGCTCCAGGCTCCCAGGGAGGCAGAACAAACGAAGAAGAGCGGTGCGAGAAGATGGAAAGGAACAGGAAAAGAATGGACGCTCTGGCGGCCACAGGCCCCACGGTGAGGAAAGAAAGCAAAAAGAACTGAAGAGTTGAGGGCAGTTATATGCTCGATAATCAAGTCGACTGAGCGCTGATTAGCTGAATACGAATTGGTAGGCCTCGAGTGATCAGAGCCTATCGATGATTTTATGATGCATGCGACAATGCAGTAGGGGTGGGGTCGCCGTTGGACATGCCCGACCCCACCTTTCTCTCGCGAATCACAGGCCTGTCTCCGCAAGGTATCACCAGGGTTACTACACTCCGTGTCACATTTTACATTGTAGCCACGAGATTTGAAGTAAACATGATCTTGGAGATTTCTCACTTATTCAGGTTTAATACGGTGTATGCCGCAAGTCACAGAAAGACCCAGTCACATTTGATAACTTGGATGAGCAACAAGTACACAGTGACAGATTATCGCTAGTCGGACCACATGGAAGACCTAGTAGGCTCCATACATAGAGGCTTCAAATTGAATATCCTAGGTGTTCAGAGGCATGTGTTGACGCGCAAGACCCACCTGCAACCATATCGCTCACCCAGAAGTTAGATTCAGGCTCAGTGCGACCACGCTCATGCAAGATGAAGTCAAAGAATTCCTTTCAAAGGGTTAGGGCTCAGTAGCGTAGGCGGTAGGCCTCGAGTGTGCATACCTAGGTATCTGTCGTTGATTGGTCGTGATCAAACACTGCACAACCATAAATGCAATGCGTTCCTCGCGAAGCTCAGCACTTCGCCACGAGCAAACACTCACTCATAGTTTGATCGAGGCCCACATTGCCAATCATGTCTTCCATCTTCTGTTGTGCGAACACTCAGGGATACAGGAACCGCATTCTGTCCCATGAACCCAAGTTCAAGACCTTCATGACGTGGGCCACCTACCCCAAGGAAAGCGACATCGTCTCATCCGATACAGTGCCGCCTGCAACCGACATAACGTTTGCAGTTCAAGTTGTCAAACAAACCAACTACGGCCCACTCGACAGCAAACGATACTTCGTCACTGGCTCTGATGGTGCTTTCGTCGAGGTGACTGAGCAGTGGCTTGTCGATGCGAACTTCGAGAAACTGAACACGTAAGAACAAGGAAATAGGCGCAAAAGGCCATTTCTAACACTGCCATAGGTTCAAGAACTTCAAGTGTGCGGCTCACAATAAGTTCTTCGAAATCAACGTCTACCAGAAGAACGCGGTAAACGCGCACCACTGGCGTGCCAACATTGCTAGACCTGCGACTGAGATCGATCTTTGAAGTACTGCAGCTGTCAGAGAGACCACTGTAAAGTGTGAATAAGCGGGAGTGTTGATAATTTTCATGTAGTGATCAGTAGCCGAGTGCAATACATGAAAGCCTTCGTTGCAAGGCTTCGGCCCTAAAACATACCTCGCGCTGATGTTTCTAAGCTCAAAGACCGCAAAATCACTCCTCCAACTCCCAAACAGGCTTGTGCACCCGCAACCGATCAAGGTGACACCTAACCCACTTCTCCACTCCATCCAAACGTTCCGACCAGCTCATTTCCTCCAATAAGTACCCGTAAACTTGATCTCGGCACATACACGAACCGAAACGAGAGTTTAGTCTGCACTGCTTTTGGTCCAAATAGCAATCTTCCGTCCTGTGAACCTCAACTGCGGCCCGGATGTAGATAGTCTCTAGACACTCACGCTTTTCTGAGAGGTCTACGATGGCCTGGATGTAGTTGGAAAGCTGATTCACTGTATCACCGCCCTAAAAACTCTCTGTGATCCCAGCCTTAATCCCCTCCAACTTCGCTGTCAACTCTTTCCAAACCCTCTCTTGATCCCTCTTACCCTCCTCACTCCGCACATAAGGACTCGGTTCCGTAATCTCACAATCACTGAGATACTTGCCGTGCGTCTCAACACCTGAAATACCAGCGTGCGTGAGAGTCCTCGATCCGACTTCCGTTTTCCGCGCAAGCAAAAAGCGTCCAATTGCGACGGCAATTCCATTTTCGCGACCGAATTCGCTTTCAAAAGATCAGCATGAGACATGCAACAAAGACAGTTACGGTAGACTTACGAGTGGCAGAAGCCAGGGTTGACAAGGTTGACGGAGACTGGGATTTGCGATTCGGGGTATCGTTCGCAGAATGCGCGGACAAAGAGTACTTCCAGTAGCTTGCTGACTTGGTACCGGTTATTCAGGCTAACATCCTTCCCATTAACGACCTTCTCGTTCAGTCTCTCGAAGAGCTTGCCCTCGGGTGCTTTGATCTCGTCGAAAGTCGCCCACTCGTGTACCTCGGAGCTCACAATGGTAAGCGTGGGTCTGGTGTTGAGCTTGCTTGCCGTTTCTTTAAGCTTTGGTAACAACGCAAAAGCCAGCAGGAAGGTGGAAACGACGTTCACTGTGATGGTAGACTCGTCTTGTTCGAAGACTTCCCATGCGGCGCGGGTTACACCAGCGTTTAGGACTGCGATGTCCACTCGTTCGAGCTCTTTGCTTGCTTTCTGGGCGAAATCGAGAACGGACTGGTAGGATGACATGTCCAGTTGCATGACTTTGACTACATTGCTGCGGCCTGTGGTTGATTCGATGTCTTTGCGCGCCGCCTCGCCTTTCTCGATGGAGCGCACGGCGAGAATGACAGTGGATGCGTTGAGCTGGGTGAAGTGACGTGCGGCTTCCTTTCCAAGACCGACATTAGAGCCAGTGACGATGACAGTCTTGCCAGTTAGGTCGCCGGTGGGCTTGGGTGGCGTGACAAAAAGTTGGGAGTAGAAGAATCGCCTGATGCTCGCCATGATGGTTGCTGGGCTACGAGCCTGGGATGTATTGGTCGGAATAGGTGATGAAGCTTTTCGATGTTGAGGGCGGTCCTGCGCTTTTAACGTCGTGATATCACGGTGGGCTTGAAGGTCGCGCTTGACTAGGGCAAGCGCGCACCTTGACGGCACGCGGGGGTTCGCTTTCAATCTCTCCGTCCCGCACCGAAATGGTCCATTCTTGGGATATGATATCACTGAGTTCCAGACCTTCCTGGACAGCATCCTTGAGACTTGCGCCAAAACGAGCTACTGTGGAGTGCGACGAACCACATGGGACCGTCACGGACCAAACGATTCTCTGATCTTCAGTAGCGTCGGGCTTAGCGACGGCAGCTACGGCATTAAGGCGGAATTAGCTCCAATTCATCATCATCTCACGGGCGGTCCAACAGTGCCGTAGCGGGTTCAGGCCACCACTTTTATTATCGGTAAACAGTGTTCACATGGCAAATTCATCGAGTGCAATAACAATGCGGTGTGATTTCTAGGCAAGCTACTTTGAGCGCACTCTGGCACTCTATCTAGCCTAGGTGTTCAAGATACGATCACATACTCGTACCATCTCAGCGATGGGCATGCTAACATCCCCTGGAACCAAATTAGTGTACAAATGCTGAGCTTCACTCTCCCTTTTTGGTACTCCTCAACGCGGCAATGATGGCGTGCAACTGCAACAACCCGAAGAAGTCGAACGCGCAACTCAAACAATCTCATATCTACCAGGCATCGACGTCAAAGCCCTCCTCAGAGAACTCTGTCGCGACAACCGTTCTCCGGGAGAACTGACGACCGGCAAGCGCCTTGATAGCCTTCTGCGCAGACTCTGTATCCTTGTACTTGATGTAGATCTTGCCAACACCGAGGTTGACGCGGGCACCGGCGGGGCGGGGAATCTTGGTCTCGATGATGGGTCCGTACTTGCCGCACTCCTCTTCGATGTCTTCCTTGATTTCTGTTCGATGTTAGAAGTGCGCAATGTTTCAAGTGGTGTTGCCGAGCTTACCTTCGTATTCATCATCGTTGAGCAGCTCGTCCGAGGTGACCATGTTCATCAAGCAGATGACACGGCTGTGCTCGTGGTTCTCAGCAGCGCTGGCTCCTGCCAACATTGAGATGGCGCCAACTCCACCGTCGAGACCAGTCGTCTGCTGGAGTCCGACAGTCGCGCGCGAAACCTTGAGGTTACCATCGCCGAGGGGGATGTCGTTGAGACCTTCGATAACTGCGTCGATGACTCCGTTGTCAGCATACTCGCAGAAGGCAATACCCTGGGCTGTGTTAGTTCAGTAGTTTCAGTGGGTTAGGAGGATACCTACGCGGTGCTGGTCGGTTCCTGTGTCCTTGACCAAAGTGAAGGCCTTGAGCTTGCCCATGGTCTCGACGAGTTCTCGAATCTGCTCCTCCTCGATGTAGGTGGGGATGTTGACGATGCTCAGCTTGTTTGGGCTGTCCTTGACGACAGACGAAACTTCATCGCCAGGCGGGTATGCGTTCTCGTCGGCGGTGGGAGTAATGTAGTCCTTGGGACGGCGGATAGACAGACCCGACCTATCAGGTGCGCCTCCGTCATCGCGCATGGAAATGCCGTTCATAGCGAGAGCGAGAGTCGCGTCTTCGGCTGCCTTGAACTCCAATGCAGCGTATTCCTTGCTCGTAGCAATGTGGGCAGACAGGCAGGGGTCGTTGCCGGATACGACATTGAGACCGTTGAGCTGGTTGTTGAAGAACTCCATAATCTCTTGGGAAGTGCAGCCCTGGGGCAGGTTGTGTACATAGAGACGCTTCGACTGCTTCGCGCCAGATGTTGCGAGGGCGGCAGCGGTGGCGGTTCCTGCGGAGGGCGAAATGAAGGCGGCGAGTTTGGACGGGTCCATGGGCGCAGCGCGAGGAGCTCCGGGCAGCGGGAACATGCCCGACAGCTTGGCCTGCTCGGCGGTGATGTTCTCGTAACCTGCTGGCTTGATGTCCCATTGGGTCATGCGACGCTCCCGCTTCTGGATGTTGGTGAAGGTGGTGAGATCGGGGGTAGCCTCGCGCGGCTTGTTGAATGGCGGAGACTCCTCTTTTTGCGCACGCATCCTATCACGTCCGCCACCAAAGCCCCCATCGCGTCCTCCCCGTCCGCCTCTGCGCTCTTCGCCTCCGAATCGGTCGCCGCCCCTTTCGTTGCGGTCTCCGCGTTCCCGTCGGTGGCCACGGTCGTCGTCGCGGTCGCGGTCTCCTCCTCGAGGTCGGTCGCGTCGGGAGTAGGAATCGCCCCAGGCACCGCGCTCGGCACCACGCTCTCCTCCACGCTCGCCCCGGTCATCGCGACGCTCACGGCGGGCGTATGTGTCTTCGCGCTCGCGCTCACGGTAGTCGCGGCTGGAAGAGTACGTGTCTACCTCGTAGTCGCGGCGGGAGCCTCCGCCGTGGCGTGGGGAGCGAGAACGACGGCGGCGCCTGTCGCCACCACGGTCGCCCCGTTCGCCGCGATCGCGATGGTCATCTCTCGAGGACTGTTCAGTCAGCGTACGCTCGCTTTTGTCGCGACGAGTGTCGGCACTCACGTAGTTGCGCGATCCGCTGGATCGGCCACCGTCTGCTTTTGTTAGTCTTGGTTCTGGGAGCTGTGCACTAGTCAGTACGTGTACTGATAGACTCGCTTACCTCTGGAATAGCTATCGCCGTTCATGGTGGGCGGTTGTGGCTGCTGGGAGCTCTTGCGCCGTCGTGTGTTCAGCCGCGTAAGATGCTGCTGCTGTCGGGAGTGAGATGGCGGGAGAAGCTGCAATTAGCAGATCTGATCAAGAAACAGTGGATGAATCAGCAACTCGCAACAGTCCCGGCTCTAGGACGCGATGCTTGTGCGGTGGTTGCGGTTGCCGTCGCGGAAAACGTGTGAGAGAAAGTCGGGGCCTGCCTTAGCGCGCCGTTCCCTTGGCGCGGCTACCCCTGTCATCGAGGCCAGACCCAGCCCATGATGCATCATTCACTTCTGGCGCAGACCACGACTATAACGGCAATGGCATTACGCGCCGCTGAATGGCACAAGCTGCCTACAAGCCTCACTGAGCTATGCATCAACACGACTTTGCGATGTGGACAATCATTCAGGTATCTTCTCCTCTCGAGTCGCAGCATTTCCTAACGTGCGACCAGATGGCGCAAGTCAGCTGATGACGTGTGGTCCATGGCCCTTCACGGTCGCATACTGTCCCTCCGTCAAGGTGCTGAATATCTCCACTACCGCGCGACTTACCCGCCAGTTACAGCCGCTCTCCCTACTCCACCTCCGTCCAAAGCGCAGTCAGTCGCTCCCGAAGAAGACGACACCGCTGCTCTCATAAAGCACTACTTCAACCTCGCGCCCAATCTTGGCCAGCTGTACGAGCAATGGGCAGCCTCCGACGCCAACTTCAAGAAGCGCGCACCCAAGTTCACGGGTATCAGGATCCTGCGACAAGATGCTTGGGAGGCACTCATCGGCTTCATATGCAGTAGCAACAACAATATCAGTCGCATATCGGGCATGGTACACAATCTCTGCTTGCACTACGGACCACATATAGGCACCATCGACGACATACCCTACCACGACTTCCCCACACCCGATGCCCTCTCGGGCCCCGACGTCGAAGCGCATCTCATGAAGCTTGGGTTTGGATATCGCGCCAAGTACATCGCGAAGACTGCGCGAATGGTTTCCGAGGACAAAGGCTTGAAGTGGTTGGAGGACCTGAGCAATCCAGAGTGTCCGCAGTTTGGCATGGAAGAGAAGCCCGCTGGGGAGATGCTTGAAGGTGGTCGAGAAGGATATCGCCAAGCACATGAGGAGCTTCTTGCCCTCCACGGTGTCGGTCCAAAGGTCGCAGACTGTGTGTGTCTCTTTGGGCTCGGCTGGTCCGAGTCTGTACCCGTCGACACCCATGTCTGGCAGATTGCACAGAAGGACTACAGGTTCGGCAAGGGCAAGCACAGCAGCTTGACCGCTGCTACATACGCTGCCATTGGAAACCTCTTTCGGAAGCTGTGGGGTAAAGAAGCTGGATGGGCGCATTCCGTCTTGTTCACGGCGGACCTCAAGGCATTCTCAGATCGGGTTGTCGCCAAGGTTGAGGTCAAGGAGGAAGAGGTGACAATAAAAAAGGAGGAAGAGGACGTTGTTCTCGAAGAGACAGTCAAGAAGGAGTTCGTCAAGCGGAAGCGCATAAAGAAGGAGCCCGAGGAGGAGCCAACTGTGATGGTGAAAAAAGAGGGAACTCGCAGGAGCAAACGACAAAGAACTTAGGTCAGCCTTACAATCAACAGGTCAACACCCTTATCATCGTACAACTGGGCAGCTCATTGCTGTCCGTTACCCTAGTGTCACGTTCGATCATTGCACCGCTGCAACCAAAAAAGAATGCTCTTTTTACCCTCACACGCAAAAAAGATCAAAAACATACAACAGCGCGGTCACACGTAGGAGCAAGCGACGACGAGCTTAGACTAGCCCTTCAATCAAGGCTTCAGCATCCTTGCCCTCGTATAGCTCATAGCTACCAGTCACTAGTGTCGTGTTCCACAAGTCTACCACCCTAGCAAAAGTGATTATCGTACTGTGAGCTTCTGGGGGACGCGTTCTTATAAGGCAAGCTTCTCGCAGGCTTGTTTATATCTGTCCAGGTATAACTACGTAGAAAGCTCGTCTAGAGCCTTGCGGGAGTGGGTTCTGTGGGAAACAGGAATTGGTCTTTCCGCCCACAAGCCGAACTGGTTAGGAATGGATTTGAAGAATTACCGTCCTGGCGATTTGACCTTCTGGCAATCTGACCTTCTGGCAATTTGACGTTCTAGCGATCTGAAGTTCCGGCAACCTGACGTTCCGGCTATTTGGCGTTCTGACGATTTGACGTTCTGGCAATTCTACATAAACGGATAGGAACACATTTGAGGAAATGTCGTCCTGACAATTTAACTTCCTGGCAATTTGACGTCCTGGCAATTTGACGTTCTAGCAGCCTGACTTTCTGGCAATCTGACATTATGACATTTTGACGTTCTGGCAGTGCTACAGAAACGGTTAGGAACAGATTTGAGGAAATGCTGTTCTGGCAATCCTACAAAAAGCATGAGCAGCAAATTTGTAGATTCGCCGCTCTGGCAATCTGCTGTTCTGGTTATTCTACAGAAATGATGGGAAGCAGATTCGCGGATTCGTTGGTCTGGTAGTTTGCTGTCCTGGCAATTCTACGGAAAGATTAGGATGACATTTGTAGGAATGCCGCTCTAGCATTGTATTGTCCTGGCACTTCTACAGAAAGGTTGGGATTAGATTTGCAGGATTGCCGCCCTAGTGTCTTGCCGATCTGGCAGATCTACAGAAAGATTTGGGTTACATTTGTAGAATTGCCGCTCTAGTAATTTGCCGTTCTGGCAATTCTATAGAAAGGTAGGAATTAGAGTTGTATGATTGCCGCTCTGGTATTTTGCCGATCTGGCAATTCTATACAAAGATAGGAAGCAGATTTGTGGAATTCTTACTCTGGCGATTTGCCGTTCTGGAGATTCTACCGAAAAGATGAGAAGTGCATTACAGATTTACTAGTCTAGCAATTCGCTATCCTAGTAATTATGGATACCAGATAGTAGAGCAAATGCTAAGTTAACAAAGTAAGTATCAGACAAAGTAGAAAACCTAAAAAGTCAAGAAGTTTGCTTTTGGATAATTTTCAAACTACAGAATTGCTAGTTTAGCAGTGTGTGTAAAGCACAAACAAAGTATTTACGAAATGGCTAAGTTAGACTTAACATGAATTAGAAATTGCTGTTATTAGTATGTCACCCTCGCGCGAGATGACATAAATACTCTTTTCTTCCTTCTATTTCCGGCAACAGTTCACGTCGTTCAACTCTTAGGTAGAAGTCTACAAAGCCGTTACCTGTAGAAAAGCACGAAGCGTGTAAACTAGCCCCCGACTGTTAATAACGTAGTTGCTTAAGCGGCTTACAGCGACTGCTGCACATGCTAATACAGTCTGACACTGCATCTTGGCTGTTCACTCTTAGAGTTTGCCAGCCTTAAGCAGCGAGTGCTGTTGAGCATCGTGTGTAACGACCATGACGGGCTGCCTCTCATCTTATCATCCTAGTAAGAGCGCAACAGCAACATCATCCCAAGCGTCGCTATAACGAGGCATGCAGTATCATCAAGGTTACCGGATAACTGGAAGTGAAGGTGTAAGAGGCACGGGTACCTGAAGGCGCCAGTAGTGCCGCGCTAACCGTCCCCGCTCTTGGCGCACTCCCAGGCGGCATCAGGGTGGGCGATGCACTGAGACAACAAAGGGTGATGTTATGTTCAGTCTGCCTTACTCTGTCTTGGCTATGTACTAAGGCACGTTTCCGGGTCGGTCGGCTTCCAGTATGACAGATGACGTCGCGTTTGTTGCATCGCTGCTACCTACCTAGGCATACTTGAGCATTACCACGTATTGTGCTCTCCCTGTTCGCCTTCTTACTTCGCTCATTCCGTTTTGCTGTCTTCATTACAGAGACTGAATCTCTAACCAACATCATGACTTCAGCATTCACTATAAAGACTGTACCTCTCCCCAACACCATGACTTCAACACTCATTTCGATCGCATCAGAAGTCGTTACGATCCCATCGAGCGAAGTCCTGCCTACACCCACGTCTTGCTCTCCAGGTATCGCTCCCAATGGTCTCAACATTACGGGACTCACAGGTCAAATCTGTCAGGTCAACGTTCCTCCAAACGACGTCAACATCACATCCTGCTGCAACAGCGATGCCGAGGTCCGTGTCCTGAATGACTGCACTCAGTGGTGCGAGGCAGACAATGGGAGCGATTTCTTTGACTGCGTCAACGACATGGCTCCTTCTTCGTACCCTTTCCTTGGCGGACCGTGTGTAGTCGTGTCTGCGAGCTCGATTTCAGCGATGTCATCATCCAACACGGGAGTCGCATCGACACCGTCTACTTCCTCAGAGACTCAGACGCCCGAGTCCACTGAAGCGTCGCCTTCCACCACTGAGTCAGAAGAGGATGGTGCTGAAGCAACGGAGACTCCCGATGTCGAAGGTATGCACCCGTCTTATCTAAGTCTGTATCACTATCACAGCTTGCTAATTAAACAAGACGCGGCGACAGGCAATTTGGGTGAGCACGCGCTTGGCGCGACACTTCTAGCTGTAGCTGCAACACTCGGCATTTTGGCATGGCTTTAGTCAAGAACCTGTTTCGAATACATAAGGAGACATGTACCGATCTACACGCATATCAACCGGATATAAAGTCAATATTGCAATGCAAATCAGTAGATTGCACCCAGGCGTTCAACATGCATAATTTTTCAGACTCCTTTCTTGTCATATGACGTGGTAAAATGAGCCGCTGCAGAGCAAGCATCAAATTCAGTCTGGGTAGGGTAGCACATGAGGCCTACGCTTTGCTAATAGCAAGCACATACCATAGCATACTTAAAGCGCCCAGAAGAACGTAGCGAAATCATTCGTATCTCATCACCCATGCACGAATTCAAAGGCCATGTCGATAATGTGCGCAAAGAAACGATTCAGTATCTACAAGAACAAGGCTTCTTCAATGTCACTTCGAGTACAAGTAGTCTCAGCAACGAGATCGCACCAATCTTCGCTCGCGACCGGTTCATTGGCGTCTCACAGAACAT